TAGGAGGAGGATGGTGTCTAGAGCTTTGTGACTGGTTGGGAAACCAAGGTGGACATCCAAAGATTCCCTTCTCAAAGTATGGCTTCTTAGCTTCATTTTTATCTAGCTCTGAATTTATAAGCATTAGTTACAGCTATATTCAGTGTAACTGAAAAAGCACCTCTGCAAATAAATATCAAAATATTTCTAGTATATTCTATGACTTTCTGTATTTTAGAATTGGCTTTCCCAGCAGTAGTGGCAGTCATTGGGAATTTGCTACACAGAACCTCCTTTTTAACTGTCCACATAGTATATCAGCTTCTTTTATTATTTTTGATGGATTGATCGGTCAAAAAGGATATTGGTTTTTAAGGAGTGCTTTATCACTTAAAAATAATGTATGGAATATCAATTCTAGTTCTTCTAGGATACCCAGTCTGTTGGTTAACCACATCTAGTATGTGTTCTACTTTATATATCAATTAATTTAGTACCTTAATCAGTGATATGATCAGAGCTGTAGTAATAAATCGTACAATATTTTTTCTACTCCTATAGTTTTATCTTCTTTTCTTTCCTTATCTGTAGAATTAATGTCATATTTAAAAAGACTCTCAATTATCTTCTATAGTAGTGACTATAAGCTATAAACTCAAAGTTTTTTTAAACCAAACAAGTGACTTGTTTGCTCTTGTTTATTCATGAGCTTGGGAGATCCAGAAAGCAGGACTTAAGACACCTACATGAGCTCCCTCAACATGGGAAGATGTGAAACAGAAAAACTACAACAGAAATAGAAGCAACTGAAAATAGTTCATGCAGATCATGTCTCTTCTCAGTTGATATCTTTTATAAAGTAATAAACAGAGTCTAGTTCTCCAGGGACCCAGTAGTCATGCATTTATTTATTTAATAAAGATTCTGTGCTGGGCCCTGATAATCTTAAATCCTAAATATTTCTGGAAACATTCCCTCAGTTCAAGCCTGCATCTTTTTTTTTTTTTTGCATTATCAATGCCTTCAAATTTGTCTCCCTCCATTTATTTTTATGCCCTTTAAATTCATCCCTCCTGCAGTACGTAGAGTGATCTATCTCAAATGCACACATGACTATGAAACACTCTTTAAAGCATATTAATGTCCAGGCATCTTACAGGGACAGGTAAGGCTTTCATGGTCTGACTTCTGCCTGGCTCTCCATCTCTAGCGCCCTCTGTCTGTCCTTTGCTCTGGTGTTCTGAGCTGCTGGTGAAGCCCTCCTCACCTGCCCTGTATTTCACACAAATATTGACCCTCTCATGTGCGTCTCTCCCTTCCTGCCCAGCCTTGCATGCTCTCTTCCTTTCCTGTCCCGCGTTCCTGGGAAGCTGGCTGACCTCACTGTTGAAGTCTCAGCTCAGGCATTCTCTCTAGAAAAGCCATCCCTGACACCTTTTATCCACATTCTTCTTTAAACTCCAGTGCCTACTGCTAAAGCAGACGCTCAATAAGTAATTATTGAGTAAAATATACAAAGACTGTTTATACAAAGGTACTTTTAAGAGTTTGTCCTCTACAGCATAGGAGCAAAGAGGATAGACATGTAAAGAAATAGTTTACAGCTCAGCTGATGAAGATACACTAGAAAAATCTGTGAAGTACCACGGTAGCTCCAAGGAAAAAGATCCCTGTGTCTCTGTAGAAAGATAGCTGTAATCAAGGAGGACTTCACAAAGCAGGCTGAGTCTTAAAAGAGGAAAAGGAATTTGTCAGAACAATAGAGGGAAACATTTCAGATTAAGGAAAGATAAAAGCTTAAAAAGTAACAGTAATTTTGGGAACCATGAATAGCATTGCTCTTGAAGCTTGGTATGTTGTTAAAAAGGTAGTTAGGAGGTAGAGAATTGAGTCTATTGTGACTTTGTATATTTCTACTGTAGTTTTAAATTTTGTTCTCTTTCTCTTTGCTTTGTTCATGTCTGGTGGATGAATTTGCGAATGAAACTTTGAAATGTTTGTGTGCCTTTAATCTGGTAACATCTAGTATTTCCCAAATACTTTGTTGAAGTTTTAGATAACTAGAAATATTTCTTAAAAAAGTAATTGTTCAGCTAAAGATTAAGCTTAATTTAAACTGTCAATTGATGAAATGTTTTTTATCTGTCTTTATAAAGATGATGCCTTTTATCTAGCTGTTCTAAGTAGTTAATTTTAATTAAGCATATTCATTTTTCAGCAGACCTAGACTTAGAAATGACATCTAAGGAAGAGCAAGAAGGACTTGATGGAAGTGAAAACAACCAGTCACAGGTATGTAAAAATGTAAATTTAAATTTCTGGTTTAATATTATTTTCTGTGCTTTAATAACACAGTTCAAAAGAAATTGCCTTTCAAACTAGATTTTTAGAGTCAATAAATAATTATTTAATATTTAGTTTTTAATAGCATTTTATCTAGTTACAAAGCTTAAAGTATTGTTAGGGTCTATAATAATTTATAGTTAAACTTTATCCTTGGAATTGAGGCAAAAAACCTTCCTGAATATTGTTTACTTCTTCCATTTTTATAACTGCCTCACATGATAAAGAAGGTGATATCAAATATTAAATCATGTGACTAAGTAGTTGAAATTGTAAACAATATAGCAGTGATGGCCACTGAGTTAGTTTCATGTAAGGAACAGTCATTCCCAGTGGTCCAAAATTTGCAGTTTCAAATTGCAAGTCATTGATGCCAAGATGAAAGATTTCTTCTGTCTTGCGATCTCTATGTAATTGACTTCAGAATCTACAATCAGGGAGAAATAGGGGTCATAGAGTCAACCCAACTGCCTATGAAGAGAATCAAACCTTCCAGGATTGGACCTTTGCTGTTAGGGAACAAACAAAACCTTTCTAATTTATTTCATTTCAGGGTACGAAATCAGTAAATATTATTAAAAATTCTTTTATTCACTCTCACTAGTGAATATTAGAGTATAATACACCTGGATGGATGCAGATAATACATATTGAGATAGATCACTACCATAGTATATAGTTTGCATAAAAATTCAGGAATCTGTTCCTCTTTCTGATTGATGTTAATTGATTTTGGCACATAATAATTTACAGTTTGCCTATTCTCCAGTTATTAGTTCTATTTAAAAAATCTTTACATGCACTGGAGGGGCTCACTATTTAAGGTATGTGAGGTGAAATATTTTTTAGTGAGGAAGCTTTTGTAATGTTAAAAACCTAATCTCTAATTCTTGGTAGATTTAACATGTATGAATTGTTTAGTTCAAACAAACAGTGACAAAGTTAGGTTTCTGAGTTCCTATTTTTCTCCTATTTCAAGGCTAAGGCAAGTTATTTTTCACTTCTTAGTTTGTGAGTAGCCATAGATTAAGAAGTTTGTTAAATTTTAATTATTTTCTAATTTTTCTTTATCTGTACTTGACTACTTAAGGATACATGTGTTTTACAAGCATGCACTGTGAAAGAAAAGAAATCGGAAGGTCAAATCAGGCAGATTAATCTTTCACCTGTGCATCTGCAAAAAATGCCTGGAGAACCAGGAATGAATAAGGAACAGGACAGAAAGGACGTACCTGTATCTTCAAAACATTCTTGTGTGGAGAAGCATGAGGACATGTGGGTCAAAAAAGGCAAATTAGACTGGAAAAATAATACAAAATTTATCACAAAGAAGTTAAATCAGAAAGTCAGTAAAATCCGTGAAAAATGCAAAGTTACTTTTCATCATAAGGCAGAGTCACTACATGACAACTCTGAACTACATGGTGACTTAAAGGAACTACCTTCCAATATGACAAATAATATATGCGATTCTGAGGAAAAAGATGCGCCTGGAGCCTCTGTCTCTGCAGGATCCCAGGCGCTCCCTCAACACGAAGAACCCAGTCTTGAAAATGTTTTTCCATCTTACTCCAAGTCTGGTTCGGCAAAGTATGGTTGCCAGTCATCTTCAAAACTTTATTTAAATGAAAATAAGTTAACTGAAAATGATAAACCAGACACTGAATATGTTTTTAATAAAAATGAGGAGGGTTTTTATAATGATAGAGAAAAAGAAGTAAGGGACCAAGTCCGACTTATGGTGAAAGAAGACCAAGAATTTGTTACGAAAAGAAAACAAAAAAGGAGCCAGAGTGCTCCCTGGAAATCAGACACTGGACACGCACCTCAGGTAAGTGATCCAAAAAGCCTTTTTGGCTTGTGGCTTTCCCGCTCCAGTGAGATGAAACACATGATTCAGATAAAAAGTCACGATATGTCTGCTGTTTCAAATACTTATAAGAAAACGAAACCAATACAAGACCAGCTCCAGTAGCCATCGCTTGCAGATAACTGTGGTGCTAATAACTCTAAAATCATGGACCCCGAATTAGGAGATGTGAGTTCTTCTCCATCAAATGGTAACAGAACAAAGTATATCTAAAAGAGTTACACCAAGATATGCAATGGTTTAAGAATGAGGTAGGCACGTTACAAGTAGAATTCCTGGCTTTGGAAAAAGAAAATTCAGCTTCAAAAAGAGGTAGAGGTTCCTTTGCTGCTACTCTGGTTATTCTCTTTATCAATCATCTCTTCCATTCTGATCCATATCTGATCTGATTTTCCACTTATGAAAATAGCTTATGTATATAATGGGGGTGATCTAAATATGTAATTGTGTAGAAACAGACTATTTCTGCCATCTAAATAACAGGAATTCAGGGAAGTATTTTCCTGGGTTTGGTTCCTTAATCAACATAAGTCTCTGTGTCAGTCTTTCATATGAAGTGGGAAAGTAATTCAGCTGTGTGGCACGTGACCTTCTGAGCCAGAATAAACGCAAGTGAAATGGCTTAGGAAGTATAATAAGCTCAAGGTTTGTTTGTTTGTTTGTGTTTTTAATCTATTGGCTTAAATAAAATTTACATTTCCATAGAATGGGAAGGAAGCAGTGAATGAGAGAAGGGATATAAGCACACACTCTCACTAAACTGATCCATTCATTGTGCTTTAGTGAGTGCGGGCTTATCTGTCTCACTGATCACTGGACACTTCGAATTCCATCATGGCCACTTTGAGATATTCTTAAGAACAAATACATGTGCTCCCACATATTCTTGAATCACCACTCTTGGGTGTTTCTGTTGAGTCAGACCCTTACATTGTATTATTTAATAAAATGTAGTAAGTTTTTACATGATGATTTTATCATATAGGTAGTATGAACCCTCAGCAAAAAAAAAAAAAAAAAAAAAAAAAATCAGTATTTATCTCCAAAGGAGAAATCTTGAGTTTTGAGATGCACTGAATGGTTTTCTTTACTTCTAGTAATGGATTTTTTAAATGTGTGTGTGTGTTCTTTTGTGTGAGTGCAAAGAGTGTGAAAGATAGACAGAAATCTGAAGGTATTCTCCTTTAATAGAAAAAGGAGATGAGCCCTGCCACCAGCTTTGCCAAAGTCACACTTTTAACTTATCTGATCAATCTGATGAATTTATTTGGTAATTTATTAGATTCAGTGTTATAGAATTGTATCATCTCTTTTGACACCGTGAAATGCTGAAGATCGCTGCTTTAGGGGCTTTGGACAAATCACTTAAACTTTCTTGGTTGTGTTCCCATTATCAGTAGACAGTGGGGCTAAGGTAGATCACTCATTACTCCTATGCCCTGTAGCTACAAAATGGTCATGGTTATTGAATGTGAAATTGGGGAGCATTATTCCTTTTGCAGAATTCCACACTAACTGGCAATTCATCAGTTTCACTCTGTTCCTTTTGGTAAACTTGGGTTAATATATTTTATTAAACACCACTTTTTTGATACCCCAGGATCCAAATGAAAGAAGAATTATAAAAAGTAGTGGGGAAAGGATAGCTTTAGCACAGAAAGAAGATTGTTCCCTTTCTGTTACTGAAGCACCAAGGTGTGACATCTTCTAAATCTGACTGTTTAATACAAAATCTAGGTGGTAAAGACAGAAGAGGACAAATTTTGTGCCTTTGACTTTTTATTTCTCTGTCTCTGCCATTCACATGCAGAAGAGTGGATGTAACAGCACAACATTAAGAAAGCCTTTTTAAAAGTTTGGAAATTCTGTTTCTTTTCCTCAAACAGAAAGAAGCAGAATTTACAAACATTTCAATGTCTTGAAATATAAAATTAAAATAAGCACAAAAATATTTTAATCAATTGAAATCAGGGCAAACTCTGAGTCAAATGATAAAATGAATGAAAACAAAGTCTTTATCATGAATAAAGTAATAATTACCTTTTTTATCAAACTTTCACTAAAGGTTAAAGTAGAAGAGAACAGGAACAAAAGTGGTGAACTGAAAGCATCAGAAACCATGTGTGATGGCAACTGTTATAAAGGACTAACTCAGCGGAGGAAGAGGGGAAAAACTGATGACCAGCAGTTTCCTGCTCTGCAGAAAGGAAATTCTGATAGGTAAGCCTATATCAATGTTCAACAGTAGATAATTATTATTTTCCTAGTATTGTTCAGAATTTCTTCCCAGTCTCATCTCTGTACTTGCTTCCATGTATTTTGCACTCTTCCTTCCAGGTTCCGAGGACACTCCTAGATGCCAAATGCCTAATCTTTGTGCTCACATTCTAATCTCTTAGGTAGAATAATTTCCTCCTGTCTC